TTTAGGGCTTCGATTGGCCTTGAGGCTTGTGGCTTGCCAATCTCTTTGATGATGCAGGTGGTCTCGAAGGGGAGATGATCCTCTTCGACCTGGTCGGTGAAGCATGCGAAGCGCAATTAGTCAACGGTTGGTGCCATAGGTACTGGAAAGATGAGAAGCAGCTGGATGAATGACACAGTTTCATTCAGTGTATGCAAATTATGCGAATTGCTGCTGTAGATCATGCTTGGTTCCATGACATTCGGCTGGTTCCTATTCTCGACCATGGCATTTCAAACCGAGCTTTGCCTCTCCTCAAGAAGAGGTGATGCAGAGATCCATTTTCTAACAAAATTGGGGACTCTGTGCCATGTGCCGGGGAGCTGGCACATCCAGAGGAGCATAGGAGCATTCTAAAGACCAGTGACTAGTGGTGACTTTCGCTGCGATGTTTGGCTCGCTCGAGGGTAGAAGCTCTCCCATTGTCCTTTGACACCATTCAAGTCAGTCCTTGTGTCATTTCTTGTGTTCATTATATAATTGAAAGCTCCAGCTACCTGTTCTTTAACAGCATTTGCCTGACTGATACCTTACAACCTACGCCATGTTGGAGCCTCTCAGGCAAGGAGCCAATAAATCAAGCGTTGCTTGCATGTAACTGGGGCTTTGAGCTTGTTTCAGACTTGAGGTTTGTTGGCGTGGCAATCGGAGTCAGATCCTTGATTGAGTTGGCGACTTCCCAGCTACAGTTGGCCACTTCCAATCATGCGGTACGCATATGCTTGTCAATATAAGTCCACCTTTCCAAGGCCATGGTGGTTTTTCGTTTTGCAAGCGAGCTTGGCTTGATAGGACAGGCACTAACACACACAAGCAGAGATAGGTCGAGAGTTCAGCTTGAGCTGCTGCAACGTTTCAGGAGCCGAGGTTGAGAAGGACGGGGCTGTATCAGACAACCAGTGAAAAGGTGTATATATATATATATATAGTATATAGTATATATAGTTTTCTTGCACAGTCCACGCAGACGTCCTTAGCACTTTTTTGTTTGATTGCTAAAGACCCTCTGCTAGCAGCAACAACTTTGGGTCTTCGGCATTCCGCAGGGAGGGAGGCAAGTGGATGGCAAAGTGACACACTTAGCCCTATATGACCAGCTGGTGAGTGATGCCAAGCCTCTGGGAGCTGCCAGACCGACGCAGGCAGGCTTGGAGCCAAGCCAGCAAAACCACACAGTCACCAATTTGGAAAAGCTTGGAGCGAAGCTCAGGTAGTTCTTGAACGACCATTTTCAAGGCATGTTTTCAGAACTGTTTTTTTCTAAGCTGTCTTGAGGCAAAAATCAGGTGCATATTCAGCTTGGTTCCCGGACGGCTTGGGATTTGAGAGGGAGATAGAACAAGCCAGCTGAGGTATTGCACCAGCTGATCCTACAAGGGCACCTACCAACAGGTGTCCTCAATTCTGAAGGATGGGCTCAGCCACCATTCACCAGCGGCCAACCATATACATTCTGAAGGTAACAAACCGGCACTAGAAAGCCTCCAAGCTCACAATTCCTGTCATGCCTCTTGCATCATGATGTACCATGATGTCAGGATTGAAGGCTTGCACAGAGGTCTCAGCAGTCTGTGAGCGATGGCTCGCCAAGTCACACAATTTACACTTGCAGGCCGAGCGATCATGAAATTCAACAATCCAACGGATAGTGGCCTCATCCAATCTCTCATCAATAAGTTTGGCACTCAATAGCTCCATTGAACCATCCACATGCACTTGTAACCTTGCTTCACCTTGGATGGGCCCATACACTTCAATGCGCACCAGCTTCTCGGAGTTGCCATGGCGGAGAGCAACTTGGCATTTTTGGAGAACGAAGAGAAGCTCAGGTCACCCGTGGGAGAGGCGCATGCGGCGCATCCGTTGGTTTTGGTTTTAGGAGGCTCCACATTTATGGGCAGGGAGACGGTGGAGGCATTCTTGCAGATGCCTGCTCGCGTTTGTGTTGTGAATCGGGGACGGTCCTACTGGGGCACTCGCGACCCAAGCGGCGGACGGGTAGCAAGAGTAACTGCAGACCGTAGGGACAAGAGCGAGTTCTCGCAGAGGATTGATACTGTAACGGCCCGGCAAATCGAGTCATGGTCACTGGTGGCGGACTTCTCTGCATACGATGGGGATGACATCACTGCAGCTCTTCAAGGCTTACGTGGACGCTTCCATACATATGCATACATCTCATCTGACTCAGTCTATGAGGTCAGTGCACTGGCAGGAGCAGGCTGGGCATCTTCCTCCGCATCCACACACGTCTCCGAGAGTTGCTCCCAAAGGCCGGCAGATGCAGCGACAAAAAGCAGGCTTCGCAAGGCAGATAGCTATGGCCATGGTAAATTGGAAGCTGAAGAGGTTCTTGCTGCGGGCGTGCAGAACGATCAGAAAGCTGGTGCTCACGCTAGGGCAATTGCATTACGTCTTCCAGATGTTCTGGGCCCCTACGATGATACATTTCGTTTATGGGCCTACTGGCACTGGTGGAGAGCGGGGGACGAGAACCGGCCTCAGGTTCAAAAGTCCCTCAAGCGACCAAGCCCTGACTCGACAGAGGTTGACTCAGGTCCACCACTGGCCTTTGTTTTCAGCCGTGATGTTGCCCGCTTTTTAGTACATTTGACCAGGCTTCCTGTAAGGAATGAGGCCGCCTTTGATGCAGTGAACTTGGGCTGTGATCTTCAGCTTCCGCTGAAAGGTTTTCTCGAACTTTTGGCCAAGGTCTCAGGGATGCCTGGTGCAAGTCCAATTGCCGTCGATCGCCCAAAAAGCTTTCTACCAAGCGTAGATCGTCCACTGCACTTGGACTTTCGCAAGCTCAAGGAGCAGTACACCTTCATGTGCACTCCTTTGGAGGAGGTGCTGAAAGTCTGTGCTGACTGGTTTGCAGAGGCATGCGGGAGCTTTCCACAGGAGGCAGCCGAAGCTGCCATGAAATTACCTCAAAGTGCTCGAGCGCCTGCTTTGGCTCACTCTGGCCTGGAGATGCCCACACCAAGAAGCTCAAGTTCATCATCCAGCTCTGTTTGATTCATGTGGTGATGCTAGAGTTGTTTGATATAATATCGCGGGACACGGCAAGCGAGCCCTGAGATGAATTGCAAGAATGGAACTCTTTGGATTTTGAGCTTCAGCATGCATGTACGTCATGTTCCTTTTTCATTTGAGCATTTGTGTTGTGGCTTTGTGGCCAGCAATTGTTGGCACTTTTCCAGGAGCGCGCTCTTGCTGATTTGGAGGTAGCTCATCAGTGTTCTGAAATTTGCCCCTGACGGAGAGATGCTGACATGTAGGTCAGGGGGAGCCCTTATCCTCCTCCACTTATGAATCAGTGACTGGCTTACTATAGCCTGTAGCCCTGTTGTTGCGTCAGAAGCTTGTACATTCCTCGTTGCGATGGTTGAAGTTGAAACTTCCACTGCTGTAATGAGACTTGTTCAATTTTCCGGAATGAGACAGCATAGCCGCGCCTGGCTTTGCACGAGGTATGCTTCATATGCCGGGGCTTCAGACGATGTCGACACCAGATGGTTGACTTGTTTAGCTTTGAAACGGCCCTGGCTGCTTGCCGAGGCTATTTCTGCAATACAGATGGCAATTTTTGCATTGATTTTTGCGGGGGATGCCATATGCGGGGCAATGAAGGCAGGAGAGCCTTGGTGAATTGTGTCAACTCACCAACGGGCCTGCCAGGTGCCAAAGCCAAGCTTCCTTTCGTCGTTGCAAGAGTGCAAACCTCAGCGGGTGGCCTGACATGGTTTCATTATGCGAGTGGAAGTCTTCCAGGAACAGGATGATGGCAATTATGTCAATCTGGCTGGTGCAGACCTCAAAGACACCGCATTCAGAGGGCACAGCGAGCCGTTTGTTCCCGAGGTAGGCAACATGCTGTCAGCACAGCTTCTCAACACGGGTGCCTTTGCCTCTTGGCCTTTCTCAAGGCATTTCACCCATTTGCTACTAGTAACAGGAAGCTACTAGGGGCTCCTGGCCGTACTACTGGGAGCAAGGACGCTACTAGGGGCTCCTGGCATCGCTACTAGGAGCAAGAAGCTACTATATAATAGTAACAGAATCCTCTTTAACTCTTGTTGTAGCAGTGGGCGCAGTCACTTCCGTTGGTTGCCGGCTGGTGCCAAGCTGCCAAGCCTATCAAGACACATTTTGCGGTAGCATGACATAGGACGCTCATATACAAGTGCAAAAGGCATGGTAGAAGTGACTGGGGTTCTACACGGAAGGGATGTGGCAGGTGCTGACATGGTTGCCTTGTTGCCGCTGTTCTTCTTGCTTGCTTAGCTTTCGTTGTCATTGTGGTTGCTTTGGTTTGTGGCGGCGGCTGTGGTGGTCGTGGTGGCACTGGTGCTGGTGCTGCTGTTGCTGGTGCTGCTGCTGAGGGTGCCTCAGTGGACGTCTGATCTTGATCCAACCCAAGATTCTGCAAGGAAATCCAACACGGTGATCAACTTATTTGGTTCGGAGCTCGGGCTACTATATATCTTGACTGAAGAGAAGCCATGGACAGTTTGTTTGGGTTTCCATGCTTTCCATGTTTCTATCTTTCAGGTCATCCCTTGAGACCAAGTGGGATGCCAAGAAGGATCTTAAAGGTCCTCTCCAGTGCGATGTTATTTGACCAACAGTGGGGTGACAAGGCGACTGCCCACAATGGTAGACCTCAAGCACCTGCCTCAGAACGAGCGATTGCTGTGCCTGCCGAATGCACAAAATTGTCAATATGTCCTTCAAGTTGTTCCAGGCGTGCTTTCGAAAAGTCAGATGCCCGGAAATACATCGAACTTAAGCAGCTTACTCCGTGTTTTGGCTGAGGACAGGGGTGGAGTTCATCCAGCTGCGAGACACCGATATGTAGCCACCAGTTTCACACACGTGCAGAATTAGCCAAGCTTTGAACCACAGAAATGTAGCAGGAACCAGCTCAAGGCAAGAGTGCTGTTTGAAGAGGTTCACTGAACTTGTCACAACCAAGCAAATACAAATGAATGAGGATCGTTTCACCTGTAGACCCATGTGCCCATGGACTACGCTTCCGCGCGCTGTGGAGCCAAGCAGATCCAGAAGCTGACCAGGTTTCGTGGCAGCATTGGAGCCCAGAGACCACAAGAGTAGCCAAAGTTTTCTCATGTTTACCAGCGAATCACCCTGATTATCCCTGATTGATTCATGCTGGCAGTTGCCAACCGAACAGATAGGCTGACAGCAGCTAATAGTAGCTTTCGACCCCCCACCCACAACATTCAAATGTGTGAAAAGAACCGACGAGAAGTTTGACCAAGGCACGTCTGTATGACATTATGAGGTGAGCAAATGATCTTGAAAGCGGTGAGAGGCTTTACTTTTGCCGCTTTGAAGTGAAAGCATCACTTCAATTGGCATGCTTTGACGTAGCTGTGGATAGTCCTGATGCCCCCGGGAAACTTCCGAGCTGTTCCAGTTTCAATAGACACAGAGAGAGAGAGAGCGGCACTTGCTTCTGGAAACGCATCCAGACATTTTGTCGTAGCCGTTTTGGCTCACCGGGCTAGTGATAGTTGGGATTTGGTACTGTATACACATTGGCGCAGTCCTTGCAAAGTTGCCCGGCCTGTTGTCACTGAGAAGCTAGTAGTAACAAGTGCATCGCTAGTAGTAACAGGTGCCTTACTAGTAGTAACGCATCACAGGACGAGTGGTCTCACATGAATCTTTGTGTGACCGATCCGACACCTGCAAGGCTCAGCAGCCATGCAGAAGAGCCAGAGCGAAGGCAGCTTGGCATTCCTCAAGGATTCCAAGGCCATTTGAGATTTATATCTTGTTACAGGAGGGAGCAAGTTTGAAGTGCGGGAAAGTGACTCCAACTGTTTGGAAGGTGGGCTCAGCTGCTGGCTTCATGCTGGTGAGCGGGGGTATTATGGCCCTACCGTGTCTGAACTTAATTGGTGAGCCGTGTCATCCATCAGCGTGTGAGCGTTGGTGTTGCAATCAAGGAACTTGGCTTTTCGTGTGCTGAATCAGGCATGGAAAGAAAAGTAAGGGCCTCGTGGATTTCTCCAAACGCTTCAGTGCCATATCTGAATACCAGGACGGCACATGTGGTTCCTAGACCAATAAGCAGGGCAAGTCCAAAGACAAGTTTTTAGTTTGATCAGGACTGCTTTCGAGAGATTCCACATTGCTATGCGTCAATGGACAGGCACTTGAACCATGCTTTTGTTGATGCTTGCCTGTAACTTCAACATTTGGATGCATCCTCGTGAGGAAACCTCTCACACCATACCATCCCAACGCGTGTCTCGGCGACAGCTTCGTAGCGCGGGATGACTGAGATAGTTTCAGGCTTTTTGGGGTCGCTATTAGGTTCGGTTAGACATCGCTAGTAGGTTGGAGGCCATTGCTATTGGTTATGAATCCTCATGCAAACCATGGCTCCACTCGCCGGCACAGGCCACGCTCGCGCTTGGCGCTGGAAGATGCACCTGTCCCACTTAAGCCACTCAAGTGCAGTGTTGGCGGTTGAGAGATTTCGGTTGCAGTGTCAGTGTTGATTGGAGAACCTGTGGAGTAGCGAGGAATGCCTCAACAATCCAATTCCTGGATAGATTCTGTGTCCACAATCGGCGCTTCGTGGCCTGCTCAGACACCATCACAGCGGAATATGCTTCTTACTTGAGTGCTGAGCACGCACTGACGTTTGCAGGTGTCCACGCACAAGAACTACTACACTGGCGAGAGACCAGATATGAGAAGTAATCCTGGTATGATTGCGGACAGCACGAGGCTGAAGCGAATGCTGATGGAGAAGTGAGCAGGGTCCGAACAAACAGCCCGTTTCCTCAATCGAAGTCGGATGGGAACGAAATAATCGACTCCCGCGTGTTAGCCAGCTTGTTATATAAACAGAGATCCTGAGATCCTTCAATTGTGTGCTTGTTGGCATGTGCACGCCCAGATCTGGATTTCACAAAGTCTCACCGTGTGCCCCACCCAGCATGCGTAGATCTTGTCTCACAATCCAGCTTCAACTGACTAGTGATTAGAGCACAGAAAGAAACGGACTCTTGCTTGACATTTCTCCTTCTGCAGTTGGCAAACAGTAGGCTCAGTAGGCACTGGGCACTTTCCAAGTTCATGATTCATAGCGCATGTTTTTGCAGGGTTCTGCTGCTACAAGCCAATTGCTCTTATGATAAGTGATGCCTTAGAAGACTTGGGATCCCCAATGCCAGCGACACAGCTGCTTGGTGGAAGGAGTTCTAGGAGTGCTACAACCTGCACGTTTGTCGGCACAAGACCTTCCATACCTCCTGCCAAACTTGAGCCAAGGATTCGCTGGTTGGGTCCACTTTCAATGTTCAGCGGCCTAGCTTGTGGCTTCTTGACTTGAGGAGTTTGAAGCAGATTGCACATTTGTGGGTCATCAGTCTTTTTGCAATTCCTTGAAGTTTTTCTCGGTATGATTTGAGGCTATGGTGCGGTGGTGTGCGGATTGGGGCAAGTAGGGATCACTGTGCTGGCAGCAGCTCAGCTGGTCCTGGGAAAAGGCATTTTGCACTGGCTTTGTTGTTCTGCCTTCCTGCGTGCAAAGTTTTCTTAAAGGTCACATTCTTTGCGGCAGCCAACATGATCCCCAATGAGGCTTGGCCTAGCAGGTTATCTATTTCGGTGATTCTCACATTAGCCACTTGCCGGTGCTCAGGCAGATTCTTTGAGCACGCTGTGCTTGATTTGCTTTCTCTTGGGTGGCATCATGGGCTTTGGTGGTGCAGCTCAGAAACTTGGCAGGCAGAAGGATGACTACAGCACACACAGACACACCGCCCGAGCTGCTTCTCAGGATGGGGGATCCTCGATTGTGACTGAGCCCGCAAAAATGGTATCCAAAAGGGAGGCATTGGAGGTCAATCCTTCAATGTAAGTTCGTAAAGCCTTTTCGGGAGATCACGGGAGCCATAAGGAACTAATTTTGCATAATTTGCTAAAGTCCACTTCCAACGTCCATATTGCAACGTGCTGCATGTCAAGGCCACTGTTCTTGGTTGTGGTGGCTCTTTTCCACATCACCGAGTTCACCTTTTGCGTGCTTTTCCACGAGAAGGAGATTGACCCAGCCTCGGAGAGCAATTGAGCTCAGCTCAAGACTCCCGCGGATCCAACTGCTTTGTATCTGGGGACTTTTATGGCATTTGCAACGCATTTTGGCATCCAAGGAGTTCAGAGCATTCCTGCTCACACCAGTACCTGCTGCAGGTTACAGTGTGGCAATAATTGCAGCAATGCTAGAGTTCTGGCTTTGGCATGCCACAGGCTTGACACTTCCAGGTGCGATGTGCGCTGCAAACAATATTTATTGAATATATTGGATCATACTTTGGGACAAGCTCCGCCGAACCTGATATAGGCATACTGCAGTCAACACTATTGCTTTTGGGTGCGAGTTTGGCATTTGGTGGATGGGCATTGCGGACTGTGTCTCGTAAGCATTGGTTTCATTGCCGTTTGGACAGTGCCACGTGGCTCTGTCTTCCACAAGGTGTTGTGCCTTGCTGCTCGTTAGTTGTCCGAGGCAGCGCTATTCACGGCCAGATCCAACTTTACGCACATTGTTGCAAGCTACAAGGAATCTTCCCATAGATTGGTGAAAGAGGGTGTCGCCTGTCCGTGCATCATTTGCAATACTTTTACATGTCTTTTTATCCAATGCTTTTTAGACTCCACAGTTCAAAGGGCCTAGAAAGCCCAAGTAAGGTTTACAGCTTTTGTCGACATCCTGGCTACGTTGGATGGTTCCTTTGGAGTGTATCCACCCAGGTCCTCCTGCGAAATGTGTTTTGCTTTTTTGCATACGCCTGGGTCTCGTGGCGCTTCTTCGCTGGCAGAATTCCGCACGAAGAAGACATGCTCATCCGATTTTTCGGGGATGAGTACGTCGAATATGCCACGCATGTACGTTGCGGAATCCCTTACGTGTCTCGATTGTAGCCTCCAGCATGCCAGAGCCACCAACTGGGCGCAATGACAAACAGCTGTACGCTGTCAATGGTGATCTGCGAAAGCTGCACGAAGATCAAGAATGATCTACTGATCTACTCTACTCGACCTCCTCGCCATGTCTTCGATGCCGAAGAGAACTTGACGGTGTAGCCTTTGATGATCTTGTTCTCGACTGACATGCTGCCCAGGAAAAGCCACCGCGCAGAACCGTGTTATCATGTGTTATCCGTTTAAGCTCTTCTGGCAATTCAGTTGCGCATGCCGCATGCCAGTTACATTTGCGGAACCATGTGGGAGGATTGGCAACGGCAACAGGATGGCTTGTGTATGCGAACCGCTTGTTTTGTCGGGCCATTTCGGCTTGCAAAGTGCTCCCTCACTTATGATGCGCACCAAGAGTGGGTGCGCATTAAATGCCGCCAATCCAAGAGATCTGCGCCCTGTGAAACACAGTTGGGGTAGGCAAGGTCGTGTCAGCATTTCCTTGGGCATGGCAAGGTTGTTTGATTCTGTCCCTTTTGGCTCCTACCAGGTCTACGCGGCCAGGAGGATTGTCCCAGTCGCTGGTTGCAGGTCCGCTGAGTTGGGCAGGAAAGTGGGTAGTGCCTTCAATGCTAGTGCCTGCAACCTCCTAGCGATGGCTTCAATGCTAGTGCACATACTTCAGGATCCTGAAGGATGCGACACTATGTTGGTGGCAAGTGCGGCTCTTACATCAATAGCAAGTGACAGAACTGGTGTGACATTAAAGTATGTGAGCAGGACGACATCACTTGTGTATCTCATGCGAGGTGGGGCTTCTCCCTCATTTTCGGCATATATGGCTCCGTGTTCCCGTATGCTTTCATCATGGCTGTGGTGTCACTTGGCGCACAGCTTTGGCAAGTGATCATGCGTCAAGCTCAAAACATCCTCTGACGACGGACTAAGGAACGCAGCTCTGACATTTGGAGTTGGGAGCCATGGTTGGAGCACACGAGCAACTATTCAAACATTCTAACAAACGGCCAGCAATTTCATTTCTTTGACTGACTTGATCTGATATGTGCCTGAGGTTTCTGTTAGCATGGAGCTCAGTGACGGTTTCAATGCGGACCCGCAGACTACAGAAACCGTTGCGCCCGCATCTCAGTGTTTGGTTCATGGCAAAGTCACCGCGCATCCCGCCAGAGGGGAGATATCAGGATTGAACATTAAACGCCGCCTTCAAGATATCATGCATGCTGGCATGCTGGCATGCTAGTTATGCTAGCAAAACGGGGCAGGAAGGAAGCTATCCCAAAAATCCTAGGAACGTCCAGTAGCTAGTAGCTTAAAAAATAACAACAGCAAACTAGACGACGAGTGGCCCGAAAGCATTTTTCATCACGTAGGAAGTCAGAGTGTGAATTATTTGTTAAGTGTTCAGTGTGAAGTGTTAAGTCGAGTGAGTTGAGGCAGTGTGTGGGTCTCTGTGTGTGTATCTATGTCTGTGTGTGTATGAGTCTCTGTCTGTGTGTGTGTCCGAGTAAGTTGAGGCAGTGCGTGGGTCTCTGCGTGTGTGTCTGTCAACCTCTCAAGAGAGCCGGGTGGTCGGGAGACATGACTCAGCTGCAGGGGCGCCAGAGCAGCCGCGAGAGATGACTCAGCCGCGAGAGATGACTCATCCGCGTGCTAAAGTTGTACTACAAAGTCGCCAGTTCTCAGCTTCCAGCTCCACAGATTGCTCCGCGTACTAAAGTTGTACTAGAAAGTCGCCAGTTCTCATCTTCCAGCTCCCCAGATATACTCCGCGTACTAAAGTTGTACTACAACTTCGCCAGTTCTCATCTTCCAGCTCTCCAGATACTCCGCGTACTAAAGTTCTACTACAAAGTCGCCAGTTCTCAGCTTCCAGCTCCACAGATTGCTTTCGTTACTAAAGTTGTACTAGAAAGTCGCCAGTTCTCATCTTCCAGCTCGCCAGAGACTCCGCGTGCTCAAGTTGTACTACAAAGTCGCCAGTTCTCATCTTCCGGCTCCCCAGACACTCCGCGTACTAAAGTTGTACTACAAAGTCGCCAGTTCTCAGCTTCCACAGATTGCTTTCGTTACTAGAGTTGTACTAGAAAGTCGCCAGTTCTCATCTTCCAGCTCCCCAGAGACTCCGCGTGCTCAAGTTGCACTACAAAGTCGCCAGTTCTCATCTTCCGGCTCCCCAGACACTCCGCGTACTAAAGTTGTACTACAAAGTCGCCAGTTCTCAGCTTCCACAGATTGCTTGCGTTACTAAAGTTGTACTAGAAAGTCGCCAGTTCTCATCTCCCAGCTCCCCACAGACTCCGCGTGCTCAAGTTGCACTACAAAGTCGCCAGTTCTCAGCTTCCAGCTCCACAGATTGCTCCGCGTACTAAAGTTGTACTCCAAAGTCGCCAGTTCTCATCTTCCAGCTCCCCAGATACTCCGCGCACTAAAGTTGTACTACAAAGTCGCCAGCTCTCATCTTCCAGCTCCCCAGATACTCCGCGTACTAAAGTTGTACTACAAAGTCGCCAGTTCTCAGCTTCCAGCTCCACAGATTGCTCCGCGTACTAAAGTTGTACTACAAAGTCGCCAGTTCTCATCTTCCAGCTCCCCAGATACTCCGCGTACTGAAGTAGTACTAGAAAGTCGCCAGTGCCTGCATTTCGCGCACTCGACACGCACGATCTCCGCAGAGGGTTGCGCGCGGACCGGACAAATCGCACTCTCGCCTGCATTTCGCGCGCTCGACACGCACGATCTCCGCAGAGGGTTGGTCCCACCCTCCGCCTTTAAGAGAGAATTTATATAGTGGGGAAATGTTTTTCATTAGGACATCTCCCGTGCAAGTTTTCCATACTCACACTTTCATACTCACAGCGTACTCATTACACTTTTACACTTGCATACTTTTGCACTTGGATACTTGCCGTTGGATGCTTTCACTCTTCCACTTACACTGGGATACGTATAGAAGTGTAAGTCTTCACGTTCATGTTCAAGTGTAAGTGTGGAAGCATAAGTGTTCAAGTGTAAGTGTAGAAATGTCAGTGTTCAAGTGCAAGTGTGGAAGTGTCAGTGTGTAAGTGTAAGTGTCGAAGTGTCAGTGTTCAAGGGATTTTCCGGAAGAACCCTTCGCAATGCTTTCGGGAAAAAGAGAAAGTAGTTTTGAGATGGGGTCGTGCTTATTGTGACGTCTCTTCAACTCTTCGACGTGAAGTCGCTCAGGACGCTCATGGCAATCTTTAGCGCTGTGATGCCCTTGCCTTGTCACAAAAAATAAACAAACACAAAACACAAAAGCATCTTGTACAGTGTGCCTTTCTGCCTCGGGCTGCCGCTTCCTTCATGATAAGCGCCATGATGTAGAGTTGGCATTGCTGAGGATGTTCATTTTGACATTTCGCAGTGACATTGCCTACGAGAGATGGTGGGAGGGTGGCACCTTACTACAGAAGACCCGTGGAGAGTGGTGCGAATCTTAGCCCCACTATCGGGCTAACCACTGTTTCAAACGAGTCTGAGAATCCTCTTCACAACTAGCCTTGAAACGGGTTAAGAGAATTTCACAACTGCAAACGCCTGAAAGCCTTGTGAATAAGTGGCCGTGACGTGTGGTAGACTGGGGTCTGTTTGTACATGGTACGTGACAAAGGTTCAATGCCTACAGCAGTTTGGTGGCCTTCAGCCCCTTGGCCTCGCATCGTGGGCTTTCTGCTCGCATGTCAAATGTGTATCGATCCGAGGTTCTGCTAGACCAGAGCTGCAAAGACAGGCCAGATACGTTGCTTTTGTTAGCTCGAGGCATGTCGTTGCACATATGGTGACCTTGACTTGATTATACGTATTTGTATGTGTGTATATATAGCTTGGCCACTTCCACAGCACAAAAGGTGATGGAGTTCCATCATCTATTGGCTCGCCTGATGTCTTTGCTGTTCTGCTGTGCGCTTCAGCTTCTTGGACAATTTTCGGTTCATATGGAACTGGCTTCAACCATCTGAACTGCTGGGTGCTCAGAAGCCAGCCTGCGGATCACTTATGGAAGCTAAGGCAAGTTTCTCCTAGCAAAGAACGGCCGTTCGAAATCCTGGACACGCAGGGTATTGAACTAGCGACTTGGCTTGTCCCTCTGTACTTCAACACGCACACACACACACATGCGCGCACAGACACATTCATACACTTCTAAGCGTCGTGAGGTTCAGCCGGATTAGTGTGAGATTCAGCTACAAAGGTTTCCAGCATGTCACAAACTCAGGAAAGCCTGCTGTACTAGCCTCAGCTGGGGATTGATCCCAACAGTTTTGCGCTGACCAATCTTGACGTTTCCTGCTGAGGTATTTGGAGAGCACCAGAGACAAGGTGGAGATCATATTGCAATGGATCCAGAGATCCATCGCGAATGCCCAAGCATTGGGATTGACGAGCCCAATGTGGCATGTAGATCAGTTGCGTCAGTTGCGTCCATGGACTGCATGGACACGTGAATGACTGGAGCTCAGGTCCTTCGCATGAATGACGGCGTGCTTCCTGTTGCTCCTCCAGTCTTGTCTCGAGCTTTCCAGGCAGTTGGGGGATATAATATATGTTTGTATCTGTCCATAGTATGTATACACCAGCATATTGTATGTTTGTTTGAAGGTTAGCACTTGCAATGAGCTAACTCCCACACCAAACTGCAAAAGTAGTGGGGCGCAAGTGTCACTGCCTTTACCACATCCGAACGTGTCAGGAATTGTCTCGTGGCATTGTGAATCTGCAGAATGCGAGAAAGATCGCAGACTTCCCCTTCCCCTACCCCTACGCGCAGGCTTGGTCACCATAGCAAGAACAGTACTTTTTTGGCGCAGCCTTTTCTAAATCCGTTGCTTTAGTTTTGTCTCTCGCGAGGTAAGCATTTTGATGCTACTGCTTCATTGGGGCCTCATGTTTGGGCCCAACGTTTCTCACATTCCTCGTGAGTGTATGTGAGTACTGGTGAATCAGTGAAACGCACTCATACCGCGTCATACCCACTTTCTTTCTAAGACTTCAAGGCCATTTTGGTGCAGCATGTTATTGTCCAAAACGATGGCTGCGGCAACCTCCTTCGTAGTGCTTTGGATGCAGCAGGGGCCAGATCTGCAGACTCAGCAAAGAATTCAAGCCCAGGTGATTTTCTTCCTGTGGGAGCCTCGAAGCAAGCTGAAATTCACAGGAACCATGTACTTGGAGAAGTTTCGCACGTCGTTTTCTGTATCTCACTTCTGGAGATTTGAGCTGTCTGTTTCACATGTTTCATCCTACTTGAACTGCTTTGCAGGTGGTGCTTGAACTTCATAGCGCTGCAGCTAGAGGCTCCGTTTGGAGGCCGATGAGACTTTCGCTGGATCTGTCAGTCTCCGCGATTCACCACTGAGTTCGGGTTTGTGTGCGAAATCACAGGCACACACACACACACGAACAGAATTCAATGGTAAAATCAGCATCCAAGTTCCACCTTGTATAGTTTCGTTGCATGCATTGAAGCTTGCCTGCAATAACGTGCCAGATGAGCCGAACGATCTGCCAATGGATCAAATGATCCTGGATTGGAATAACAGCCGGACGCCCTATAGTCCAGTGAATAACGCTGCCGATTTGATGTAGTGACTGCAGTGCAGTTCCCAAATTGCTGCCGCAAAGGCTTATGCACTTTATTGTCTCCAAGATCACAGCGCCCACCAGCGTTTGAATTCGATCCCGCCGTTCATGGCAGGCCAGGCCCCTTTTTTAAAAACAATTCCTCCTTAACGTTTATAGTATTTACTGGAGTTGCACTCAGAAGAGTGCAGGTGGATCACCTCCTTGTCCTCTGACATTCCTACGTTGTTGGGCTTGGAGGACCGTCAGATTCAAGACTTCCATCAAATATTATACACATTACATAAGAGTGCAAGTGAGCAATCATTTGCTTCTGAACGCAGGAGGAGGAAGAGGAGACCAACCTTGCACTACTGCGGATCTAGAGACTGCGTCATTTTGTTTGTTGCCCTGGCCCCGCAATGCTGGGCCAAAGCTTCGCAGGAGTTGGAAGAGGAGGCCTTGATTCTGTCGGTTTTACGCCTTCTCAAGACTTTTGTGTACAGTTTTGTGAGACTTCCTGATTGACAACTTTACATAAAGTCTTTGCAGGACTGTGAGGAGGACTTTTTGCTTCATCTGTCATGCAGCATGCCATCCTCCAACTTGCTTGATTGAACAAGTTCAGTGGGCCGGGGCGGCCTGGTCACTGTGGTCTTTCAATTACTGTAACCCTTTCCAGAATGCTGCTGGAAATGGCAGTGATGTGTTTGAAAGAAATTGCCGCAGGAACTGGCAAATGCCAAAGTAAAGGCTGTGGCGTCAGATCACTGTGTGATTCTGAGGTCCAGAATCCTTCAATACTACTTGCAGTGACGGTTGATCCTGTTATATTTCATTAGTTGAGTAGCAGTGACATAGTGCCTAAGAGCAAGATGCAAGAAGGTTAAGTTAGCACAGACTTGATTTGAGGCTTGAGTTTTCCAGCTACCAAGGCGCAGCACCCAGGAAGATTCAGATTCCTTCAGCCAATCTCCATCCGCAAAGGCGTGGTATGCGAGCGCCGTGTCAAGTTTGATACATGGCTGGATTTTGATGGAAAAATGGCTGAACGTCTGGATGTTGAGGCAAACGGTTCGTCTTCAGGCGCAGGCATGCTATGACACTGGTGTGTGGTTTGTGCGGGGGTGACGGAAGGACCTGTAGCAAGAATAGACAAAACATCTTACAGGTGCACAAAGGCAAAGGTAAAAGGAGCAGCAGGCTACTGGTAACAAGGGCATCGCTACTAGTAACAAGGCGCTACTACTAGTAGCGCTACTAGTAGTTATGCCCTTGTTACTAGTAGCGGTGTCCTTGTCGAAACATCTTAGAGGTGCACAGAGGTGAAAGGAGCAGAAGGCTCACATCTACTGAAAAACGATGGCTCAAAAAATGATCCTGAGCTCCTGTAGTGTACATTTGTGGCTATCAATCAACACCTGGAAGCCTATGGTGCTCCAGTGCACCGGCGTTGCCAGGTTTTTTGCTGACATTTTGACAACTCTCCTTGCACACGCCAGGATGGACGCAAAGACGAAAGGATATCACGACGCGACCGTGCACCATCCTCGAGCCCGCCAAGCGACTCGAGCTTGAATGGAGAGGAGAAGAGAAAAGGATCAAGAAAGCCACAGCTGACGATGATGAAAAGCCTATCGAGTACGAGCATCATCAACTCGCAAGTAAATGACACAACTGTTGACAACGAAGAACGACGTGGTCGCGAATTGCCTGAAGGCGAGGCCCTTTGTAGTTGTCTCTACGCACAGTTTGTGCAAGAGAGCTGACACTATTCACTATTCTTGCAGGCCCACCTGTGACCTTGGAAGCACAGCCTGACCTGGGCTTAGCTTACGCATATATAATTGGTTATGGATTCAGCGCTGTTCAGCATCGTTTCATGTCATTGTTGATTCTGCTCGGCCAAGGAGCGCTCGACAAGGAACAGGCTTTAGCCGGGGTTTTCCAGCTGATCTGGCTCACTCCACATATAGAGTGTATAGAAAGTTGAACACTCAACTGGTTAACCACATTTTATCATTTCCAAATGAAGTTTCACTGTGCAATGTGGAAGGAGTGCCGAACAGGGATCCTCATTAAAAAGGGGTTCTATTGTTGATTGATCAGGATGTTGCTGAACTGTTGTGCATATATATATATAATATAGATCTCCAGAGTGCTCTCAACTTCTTGCCAAAAATTGAGGATTCCTGTTCTTCAATGTTTTCTCATAGGCGTGTTGCTTTGGGAATATTGCAGCTGCGCCAAGTGTGGCTGTTGAGATGCATCTCCATGCGTCAAGTGCATGCAGCCGCTGTGGTTGCACCTCCGTAACAGAAAGATTTGGACTGCATGTCCAAGACATGTTGTGCCTTAACTGTGTCTCGAAAAGGGGTCCACTTTGCAGTTTGCAGATTTGTGCCTGTGCCCACCACTGCAGAATGTACCCGCACAGACACTCTTACGTGCTGAATGCCGCAGAAGTGAATTGGGTTTGATACGTTAATCACTCTCAAACTTCCGCAGGAGATAAACAAACCAAAACGATCCAAAACGCAAGAAGCTCATCAGCAGACAACTTTTGAAGCGAGAACTGCATGTTTTGGCTTGCTGCTAAACAAACAGATTTGTCAAGGCTTCTCAAGCACAGCTTCAACAGTCCTTTCC